CGTGGTTTCTGCAAGCCCCCAATTTGCCTGCAGCTGGCAGAACAGCTGATTGCAGCCACTCCGTGCCTGCCTCCTGTGCAGCAGGAGGGCAGCACCCTGCTCACCTGCACAGGGACACACTGCCTTGCTCAGGCACAGCGACGGCAGCAGGTCTGCCTTGTCTTTGCAGGGCAAGATAGATTTGCAGACGGATTTCCTGCTTTTTTCCCTGCCCTCGTTGTCTCCCTCCCCTTCGGTCTGCAAATCCCTGTGTGGAGAAGCAGATTTTGAGCCACAAGCAGAATTTCCCAGGGCTCATCTCCAGCTCCGTGTCCTGCTCTGGTGGGAGAGCAGCTGCTTGTCGGGTTAATTACAGCCATTATCTGGGTGAGTGCCAGGGATGCTCCTCCATCCCTGTGTTTTGGTCCTCCCAAACGTAGCTGGGATAGTCCAACAGCCCTCACTGCTGTTGGCAAAACATTGACATCAAAACCTATCAGATTACTTCAGAACAAACAAACGAACCATTATCTGGTTTTGCGTGGCAGTTCTCAGGGAAAGGCTGTCTTTTGGAGGGGCTCTTGTGCACCTCCAGGATTTGAGTGCAGGCAGGTAAGCTCACCTTCCTCATTGCCTATAAATGGGGCGTCGGATGCTTGCCCCTTTCCTCAGCAGCAGAGCTCCGTGTCCTTTCATGGTCATCCAGGCAGTGCTCTGAACTTCTGGGAGACCAGATCGCTTGTATTCACTTGGATGGGCTGGAGATTGGCCAAAAGCAAAAGCAGAATGGAAGAAACACCCACCACAGCCCAACTTGCTGCCTACAGAAACGAGAGGACAGGGAAAAATGGGCAAGCTCTCCGTGGTGAGTCAAGCAGAGAATAAATCTCCACCTGTCCTAAATTCTCACAAGTCTATTAGAAGAGCAAGAGGAAGCAGGCTGCATGAGATAAGCCCAGAGGTATCGAAAGCTGCTGAAAACCTGAGCTGTAAGCTCAGTGCTTAGCGCAGGGAGCCGTGGCTGTGACGGAAAGATGCTGGAGCCTTCTTGTTGGCATGCACTGAGTCCTGGAAATGCCCAACGTTCAGCCTGGCTGGAGGTAGAGATCAGCCTGGCTGATCCCACGTGCATCCCGCATGGACCTCACGCATCCCTCAGCTGCTCCCCAGCCCACTGGTGTGCCCCTGGGTGACTCGTGGCTATGTGGAGGCTGGAGGATGGTCTGGAGGAGACCATGGGTTTGACTGGAGCTGCTTTTCCTTCTCTCCTAGCATGGTCATGGCTGGGGCAGTGCTACTTAGGGGGCAGTGTGGTCGGTGGGTCCTGTCTGCTCACAGCTGAGGTGGTCACTGCTTCTGAGCAGCAGTACAGGAAAGAGACACGGATGATGAAAGGGAGGGAAGAAATGTGACAGTAAATCAGTCAGGCTCGCCTAAGTTATGACTAAACGGGGAGCGTGATACATCTGCAAATATTAGAAATGTGTAAACACAGAGCAGGGAGAGGGATGATTTATGGGATGATTGAAGGGAATGAACTTTTGGATGGGAAAATGTAGGTCAAGTAGCGAGGAGAACTTGCAGGCATCGAGATAACTGCCGGCAGCAGGAGCAGCTCCTCCTCAGCAGTGGGGCTAAATGCCATGGGGGCAGTGGGGACCCCCCCGGGGATGGCAGCAGGGTGATGTGGTCCTCCCAGAGCAGAGCAGGCCACGTGTGGGCCGTGCACTGCATGTGCAGTTTGGTCCCTTTCCTGTTCCTGCACCGTATGGGGGTGGAGGCGATGGTTTGCTGCTGTGTGCACGGCTGGCGAACGCTTCAGCAGGATCTCAGCGTAACGCAGCCTGCTGGATATGAGCTGTGCTCGTCACCTATTTGCTGTTTGTTATTTGTAACCATGGAGCGTGGAAGGGAGTGTGCAAGAGAGGCTTCAGTGGCTTTCTGTGCTGTGTTGTTGGCAAGCTGGCTTCAGGGGAAAAGCCCAAAAGATCGCTCACAAAAAGCAAGTGGTGAGTTGTCTGGCAGCGGATCTGTGCTTTTAGTCCTGGCGTCTCAGGCTTTATCTGCTGTCTTCCAGGCTCACTTTTCATAGAATCATACAGTCATAGAATGGCCTGGGATGAAAATGACCACAGTGACCATTATGATTCCAACCCCCCACTGTGTACAGGGTCAACAACCAGCAGAGCAGGCTGCCACATCTAGCCTGGCCTCGAATGCCTGCAGGGATGGGGCATCCACAGCCTCCTTGGGCAACCTGTGAACAGTGCCTCACCACCCTCTTTTGCCCTGAGACATCTCATGAGCTTTACCTAACAGTATGGGAACTGCTGAATCACGGCCTGAACCTCGGATTGAGCACCTGAGGTGAGCCATGAGTCAGCCCTGGGAGCACAGGTGAAGGCAATTCTGTGCTACTGGAAGGGGTAGAACCAGGCTGCACTTCTCCTAGACCCCATTTAAGAGCTGACTGCCAGTGGGGAAGGATCTCTGCTGGAGATTGCTCCTCTTGGAGTCTTCTCAGTGAGCTCAGGACATGGGTAAGCTTTCCATCCATTCTTCTTTAGTATGATAACATGTTTAGCATGACTTTCTTGTACATTTCTTAATTGTAACATCCATATATTCATAGATCATGCACTAACACGCACTGCGTGCAGCTCGGCTGCTCATGGTGCAGTCAGCGCATCCTGTTTGTAGCCCCAGAAAGGCTGTGGCTTTCAGGAGAACTCATCCCACCCAACTTCAGCCATTTGGAGCATCTGATCTATGCTGGCTGTCAGACACCAAGCCCTGGAGCTGCCCAGCACTCAGCCTGGCTGGATGTAGTGTGGGGCACTGAGCGCCTGGCCGGCCCCACATGCGTCCCCACAGGCATCACACATCCCTCAGCTGCTCCCCAGCCCACCTGGGCGGCTCATCCTCAGCAGGGAAGGAGCAGCACCTCCTATAGGAGGTATGCGTGCAGCCCAAGCCCCTACCTCAGAGAACAGCCGCAATAACGAGTTTATTTTAGGTCGGAAATCAAGTCCCGAGCGCCTAACAGACCGAAACGCTTTGACTGGGGCGGTTCTGTGGAAGGGAATGCATTTCATAAGGCTGCTGCTCTCGCTGCCTTTTCTTCCTGTTGCTCTGACAGCCGGGCCGATGCCCGCTGCCCCCGCTTCCCCGGACTCGCCCGCTCCGTGCCCGCGGAGCGCAGTGCGTGCCGCCCGTGCCCCCTAACGGGGAAAAGGGGAACGCGCCCGGCCGGGCTGCACGGCGCCGAGCCGTCGGCGGGACGGAGCGCCGGAATCGCGCATCTGATGCGGACTGCGTGCCCGCCTGCACCCACACGTCAAGGCTGTGGGGCAGAAGTGGGGACTTGCCGAGCTGCAGAGTCGTAGGGTGGCTTAGATTGGACCTTACGGATCATCTGTCTCGTCCTGTCCTGTCTGGCCGGTGGATGCTTTCTCCCGTTCTCCTTCCTGCCTCATTTAACGTATCTTTACCTGCCGAAATGCTTAACGGTCTGCTGTGTCTCGCCGAGGTCGCCCTGCAGCAGTGCTGGGCACTCCTTTCTCTGAGCAGAACCCACGTGCCTGCTGAGCACCGCGGGGCAGCTCAGTGCGATGTGCTTCCCTGGGCCTCGTCCTCCCGGCTCCCCGCTGCCCAGCGCCGGCCCTGAGTCTGGTTATCCTTACCTGCAGTCCTATAATAGCTTATCTGCAGCCTTACAGAACCCAGTCTGCAGCCCTTTAAGTCCATGTCTGAGCCATGGAGAAGGAGGTTCAGGAGGAGGAGGAGGCGGTGGGGTTGGGGACGGGCTCACTGCCCATCTCCCCTCCTCCTCGGCCCCAGAGAATGAGCTCAGGCAGATGCAGATCCAGAAGCAGAGCTCTGAGCTCTCCCTCCTGGCCCTGTCCTCGTGGGCTGATTACAGCCAGTCCCTCCTCTGGAGCTGTTCCACTTTGTCTAAATAATTAACATCCAGAGGGCCAGAGAGAAAAAGCAGGGCTGCAGCTGGAGCTCCACTTCCCAGCTGAAGCCCTGGCCACAGGGCTATTGCCTGCTCCATGTATTGCGTCCTGGCCCCCAGTAAATTTGTTCTGATGAAAGTTTCAGCAAAGCATGCTTCCATGAAAATTCTAGTTTTCATGAATTGGCATTTTCCAGGAAAAAAAAAAAAGGTGGGGGGGAGAGGGGGGTGAAAAGCAATAGAAAGAAGTTGCCAAGAATTTCCCAACCAGCATTAATCCTGAGACATTACTATGGTCCAAACAGACAATGATAAGGATCTATGGAAAACATGGGGAAACAAAGAAGAGATGTTTTTAAAGCCTCCAGAAAATAAAAATCCAGCTGGAAGGAGGGGCATGGGGTTTATCCCAGCACGCTCAAGGAGGGAGATTCATTCCCTTTGAATGGCGGGGAGCCCTTCTAGTTGGTTTCAAAGGAAGTTGGATGTGATCATTAATGTGACCTTCATTTTGTTGCTAAATGATACGTTTGTGGATGAGCTGGAAATGCTGGGGAGGTGCAGCCTGAGGAAGCTCACTGCTCAGAGCTCTTCTCCAGCGCAGATGGGCTCTTCCCCCCCCGTGCCCCTCCGTGGGAGATGTGGGGTTGAGCTCTGCACTGTGGCCATAGGGCTGTGCCCGGCCCCACGTCTCTGCAGCTACAGCAGGCACTGAGGTGGGGAGGTGGGCACAGTCTGTGAGTGGCTTTTCCAGCAGGCAGAGAACTCGGAGATGCCCAAAAGATGGGCAGCTCCACGGGGAGGGCACCAGCAGCTCGGCACATCCCTGCCCATCCCGTGGCTGGTGCCGTGTGGTTGGTTCACTTGTGTGGTGATTTTTATTTCATTAGATGAGCTCTGCAGCCTCTCAAGTTCTCCTTTAGTTGGTGGTTAGCTCAGTAAGCAGCCCAGACGTGCCGGCAAGAACTTCCAAGTGAGATTGGGGCCTTCTTCCTGCTAACCCAGCTCTCTGCATCTCTGGTGTGCTGGGGAGTGACATGTCCTTCTTGGTGACTTTCTCTAGGCTGTCTACAAGGCCTGGCTGTGCTCCGAGTATTTCAACGTGACGCAACAACAGTGCCGACACCGGATCCCATGCAAGCAATACTGCCTGGAGGTGCAGACCAGGTGCCCGTTTGTGTTACCGGACAACGACGAGCTGATCTATGGAGGCTTGCCTGGCTTCATCTGCACGGGTAAGAACAGCGGGGCTGCGAGGGATGGAGGTGCACCTCACAGGGGTGCCCGTAGAGCTTTATGGTCTTGAAGTCTCTATGGGAGGGAGGGAGGAGGAGGTTCCTGGGCTGGGTCCCCTCTGTGCCACCTCACTGACCCCGGTCTTCCCGCAGGGCTGCTGGAGAGCCAGCTGCCCGAGGAGGAGGCCAAGTGCTGCGAGGTGCAATGGGACTCCTGCGACCACCCCCCGGACAGCAGCTCCGACACATCCCCCAAATCCACGGCGTCAGAGTCGCTCCATTACCACCGCCACGACCCCCACCTCCATCACCAGCGGCAGAACCACTACCATCTCTACCACCACCACCAGTACCACCACTCCCCGTCCTTGCTGCCGGTCTCCGCAGGGTCTCGCCTGGGCAGCAGCAGGATCCGGCTGTGCGTGCTGGTTCTGATGCTCCTCCACACCATGGTGTCTTTCTCGAGCGTGCACGGCGGCGGCGGGGGGCTCGGCCCAGAGACCCTGCCCTCCTTGGATGAGAGCGTGGCGCGGGACGAGTGATGCGGAAGGCAGAGCCGACCTCCGAGAGGAAACGCCAGATCTTTTTCCACGAAAGGGGGCACATGCTATTCCTCCAATGGGAGGCACGGGATCGGGGGTGACGCACACAGACACACCCCCACACATTACCCCCAAGAGCTGCTCGCCGCGGGGCATCCCCGTGATGAAGAGTCTCTAATGCGCACAGGGCTGCGGGACTCGGCGGTGAGAAGGGTTCAGTCAGCAGCAGCCAGGTGGTTCGGCGTGGGGCGGGATGGGGAGCGGAGGGGGTGGGACCCCTCGGGAGGTGGCCCCATGGGTACCACATGTGCCTTGGGTACCCACCAGCTATGTGCCAGGAGCGTGGAAATCAGCCTAACCCCCGTTTCTCTTCTGTCCATAAAGCCCAGCACCCCGTGGTCCCAAATGGGTGGGAGGGTATGGAGACAGCATCTCTCCGCAACCCTCCTCTTCCCGTCCCTGGGGAAAACCCAACAAGGCAAGGCAGTCCCTACACGGCCTGGCCGGGCTCCTTCTGCTGCTGGTGGTGCTGGCGGGGCTGGAGGATGCTGCCCTATGGTGCTGGTGGGGTCGGTGGGGCAGGAGGATGCTGCGCTGTGGTGCTGGTGGGATTGGTGTCGCTCGGCCCGGCGCTCCCTGCTTTGCAACATGATGGTTCCATTTACCATCTCTTGCTTGCTTTCCCCACGGGAGAGGCTGCTCTCGGGGAGGCGTTAGGGAGACGTGGTGAAGCTGAGGGTGTCTTCAGCTTGCAGTGGGATCAAGGCTGGTAACAATTGGATGAAAGGCTTCAGAGGGCATCCTTCCATGCTTCGCGGCCACAAATCATCTACTGGATGGCAGAAGGACTGGGTGAAGGGCTGGAGAAATCTGGCTGGTAGGGATGGTCTCCCACACAGAGCAGAGGCGCTAATAAGGCCCAGCTGGAGAAGGGAGTTCTCCCAAATGCTTTTTATCAATAGTTGCCCCCAGATCAGAGAACATTGAGGAGCCCACCCGGGGCAGCGGCGCTCGCTCAGGCAAGGTGCAGCCTCAGTCAATGCAGACTTTTTATACCTGAGTTCAGCATTTCTGGGCCCCAAACAGACACCAGGTCCCTCCCTGCCACGAAGCTTCCAAATTCTCCATCCGCCCACAGGGCTCTGCAGGCAGCACGGAGGAGGTGGGGAAGCAGGCTGCAGACTGCTGCAGGGCGCTGCGGTCACAGCGCGGGTGCACATCTGCTGCTTCCATCCCTGCCCCTTCAGGTCAGCTCAGGGTAGGGTCAGGGTGGCCCTGTGGAAGACATGAGGATTGTCCTGCTGTGCCCAGACCTGTGCCAGGGCCCTGTGGAGCAGTGGGGAGGTTCAGGGCGGTGAGCATTTCTGGTTCCTGGTCTGGTGAGGTGAAGCAAAGCCCCGTGCACAGTGCTGCTTCTGACCTGGAGGAGGGCAGCACCAGGAACCTTGCAGGAAAGGCTGCTCTCGATGTTTCCAGCCCATTCACAGACCAAAGAGGCTCTGAAAAGCAGCTGAATGTGTGACTTGTGCTTCGACTCGAACCTCAGAGCTCTGGGGAGATGTTTACACACTACCAGTTACCTGTTACCAAAGTCCTGAGGATGCAGAGCCCATGGACTTGTTGTGCAGGGCTGTCGGGCAGGAGAGCTCACACTTGTGGGAGGTGCAGAGCGTTTCCCAGGCAGATTCTATTACGGATGGCACCCAGGATGGATAGGCAGGGAGATTCTTGTTTGAATATTCACGGCAGCATCCCTGTATTTGCGGTCTGGTTTACACCAAGCTGGGAACTCAGACGTGCAGCAGCTCAGCAAATAGGAGTGGGGCCGCTCCGTTCACTGCGGCACCGCGGCGTTGTGGCGAAAAGCGAAGGCACTCAGCAAGAGCGAAGGAGGGAGAGCAGCCGCGTCCCTTTCCTTCTTAAGGAAATGAGATTCTTCACGTACTGCCAAGAGTGAAGCTGATTCCAGGCGCCTCTCCCCGAGATAGGCTGTGTCCAATCTGGGAGAAAGCGTGGCCCCGCGCGGTGCGTCAGCGTGCGGCCCTGACTCAGCTCTGCTCTTTCTCTGCCCGCAGCTTGCTGGGGGTGCTGGGCCTCTGCCCCACGGCTACACAGAGCGACAGCAGCGGGAACAGCTTGGGGACGCTGCATCTGGGTGCGGGGATGGGGATCCCAGGCAGGGAGCAGCCAGCTCAGGGTGCTGCTGTGAGGGGCCGTGGCATTACCTAGTGTGACTGAGGAAAGTGCTGAGTCTTCACAGAGCGGGGCTGTTGGAAGGAGTTCTTTTATTTAGCAAGTCTGGGCTGCTGTCAATAAGTTCTGTGGTTTTCGGGCACCATATGCTGTATTCAACGCTTTGCCAATGGCGTTAAACAAATCCAGACGTGGCTGTTTGAGGAGCGGGACGGAGCAGCTGGGAGCTGTGCGTGGCGCAGTCTGACACTGTAGGGCCAGCAGATAAAGATCTTCCCTCTGCCCTGACGCTGCAACCCCGATAACCCTCCGCATCAGCCTTGGCTAGAAGAGAGAAGCAGAAAGCAGACCGGGCGCAGGCTCAGCTGATAACCCCACGGTTCCCCTTTCAGAGCATCCCCGGGGGAGCGCAGCCCCACGCAGCCCATGCAGGAACTCAGCCCACGGAGCTCCTCCTTTCCTTCCACTCTCCGATCTGGTTTCTCCCCCCCGGTGCTGGGGGTCGGATGGTGCTGCAGGGATGCGGCCACGGCCCGTCTGCTGCGCCAGCCCTCTGCACCGCGCTTTTATGTCGCTGCCAGTTGTACAAATTAATTAAAAATAACTGAAGAAAAATCCCAAAGAAAGGCCCCGCTTCCTCTGGTGAAGATTAATCATTAGTTGAGCCTTTTTCTTATGAAAATACAGATCCATGGTAGCCCCAGGCAAAAGATTCCCAGGGAGAGCCCTCACCATTCGTGCTCTGAGTTAGGGAAATCGCTTTGAAAGCATCTGACAACTAAAGCAGAACATGTTGAGTAACTTGGCAACACTCTGAAAACATCTTGAAATGGTTTTTGTTCAACACATTTTGCTTCGCTTCAATAGGAGATGTCAGGGCAGTTCATTCACTGCCGCTCAGGGCTGCGGGCGATGCCGGGAGACGGCTCCTCTGCAAAGAACTGAGAACCCCGATCTGTGCTGCTGTGAGCCAGGGCCAGGGTGGTGCTGCCACGTTGGAGCGGCCCGGAGCTCTGCACGGCTGCCTGTCTGCACCCTCATCCCGCATCCCCTATCCTTCATCCCACGTTCTGCATCCCACGTCCCGTATCTCTCATCCTCCATCCCACCCACGGCAGCCCTGTTCCCTGCTGCCCTCCCAGCATCCTCGGATGCCCGTCTTCAGCTCGCGCTGGATCCGATCCGTGGCCACCACCCCAGGAAGGAGCACCCCTAGAAATTAAGAGACAAATTTGAAACAGAAAAATGATCCGAAGAAAACGGCTGTGAAAATCTATGCAACGTGTCCAGCAATTTTGTTTATAGGTTTGGGTTTTTTTGTTTTTTGTTTTGTTTTTTTTGAGCTGCCCTATGAATTTCCATCCGTGGGAGCATAAATCATTATTCCAAGTATATTTAGAATCATAGAATGGCCTGGGTTGCAAAGGCCCACGATGCTCATCCAGTTCCCTGCTGTGTGCAGGTCACCAACCAGCAGCCCAGGCTGCCCAGAGCCACATCCAGCCTGGCCTTGAATGCCTGAAGGGATGGGGCATCCACAGCCTCCTTGGGCAACCTGTGAACAGTGCCTCACCACCCTGTGTGAAAAACTTCCTCCTCATATCCAACCCAAACCTCCCGTCTCACTTTAAATCCTCCTGCCCTGTGCCCTGGATCCTGGCAGCTCAGGGCCCGCAGGCTCCATCTGGGTCATTCCTCAAGGATTCTGTCACAGTTCCTTGCACACACAGTGTTGGATGTCCGTAGGGTTGGGCTGCAGCTCAGCTCAGGGCGCTGGAAATGGTGCTGAGTGGTTCCCACCTCCCCAGCATTCAGAACATGGGCCCTTCATGGCCGCCCCATTGCAGGGATGGCTCTAACTTTGCTTGCTGTAAAGTGAAACTCACCCTCGGAAATTTTTCAATATATTTATTTATTTACTTTACAAATTGGCTTCAGCTTATGAAATTTGGGTTTGGTTTTGCCATTTTTAAATGCATTTATTTGGGAGCTGTCCATGCTTGAATTGCAAAACAAAAAGCCGTTTCGAGCCAGATGGCTTTTTGGGTTGTTTCTTCTTCTTTTCATTTTGAAATGTATCAGGAGGCATATCGATAATTAGCGCTAATTTTTTTTTTTTTTTCACATTCAGAAATGCATCCAGAACTGCCCTTTCCCACAAAACGTTTCATTTTCCAAAAAAGAAAGAAAGAAAGAAGAACAAAAATCAATCACACTTTTTCTGCTCGCAGTTGGAACTGGTGGCGGTGGATTTGGAGAGAATAGCAATTTGTCAGGAATTCCAACCAGCTCGACTCAAAATAGCAAAACAGCACCCAGCCGTTTCTCGGGGGCAGTGGGCTGAGCAGCGCCGTGGTGAAAGCAAACTGGAGAGCTTCCTTCCTTCCTGCCTTCCTTCTTTCCTTCCTCCCTTCCTTTTTCCCTCCTTTCCTTCCTTCCTCCTTCCCTTCCTCCACTCCTTCCTTTCTTCCTTCTTCCCGTCTTTCCCCCTTCTTTCTTTCTCCTCTCTTCCTTCCTTCCTCTCCTCCTCCCTTACTTCTTTCTTTCCCTCTTTCCTCCTTTCCTTCCTTTTTTCCTCCCACCCTTCCTCTCTTCCTTCCTCCCTTCTTTTCTTCTCCTCCCTCCCTTCCTTCCTCCCCCTCATCTTCCCTTCCTCATTTCCTATTTTTCCTCCCTCTCTTCCTTCCTCCCACCCTTCACCTTTTCCTTCTTCCTCTCTTTTCTCCTCCCTTCCTTCCTCCCATCTTCCCTCCCTCCATCCCCACAGCTGCAGACCTGACGTCCCACCTGTGGCTGCAGAGATGCTCCATTGCAGACACCACTGCAGCCCCGGTGGCCGTCGGCCTCCCGCAGCCACCCCTGTGACCATGCTCCGTTCTTCCCCAGCCCGTTGCCTCCCAGCTCCTCCCCACCCGCACATCACTCCTCCGGCACCGATGGGAAGCCCTCAAACCGGAGCGTTTTCCAGGGAGTTGAAATAGGAAGGAATCAGACCCGCGGGTCCGGCAGGGAACCGCAGGGCTCACGGGGAAAAGCGAGCGCTGCAAAGAGCGACCCGAGGGAGCAGAGGGGAGAACAGGGGCAGGGGCGGCCCGTGGGGGCTGATGGTGACCGAACCCTTCTCACGCGCCCGGGGCCGTCGGTGGACGCGGGGCCTCGACCTGCGGGGCCTCCCGGCGCCGCGAGGTGAACCAACCATCCTGCTGAAGTCAAAGTACTTTCTAATCCCCCCCGCCCGGTTTTCTCTTTCTTTCCAGCTTTCGTCCTCTGCCTCCCCCCCGCCCCTCCCTCTGTTCCCACCCCCCTTCTGTTTCTCTTTCTCCCCTCTGTCATAAGAAAGTGACTGTGTCCTCGAGGGGACGGTTTTCTTATGCCATTTTATACACTGTGCTTCATGTTTAGAACTTTTTTGCACTAGTTCCTATTACATTTATTTTCCAAACCGGTTTGACAAAAAACAAACAAACAAACAAACAACAACAAAAAAAAACCAACAAAAAAAAAAGACAAAAAAAAAAAAAAAAATACAAAACCAACCGACAAAACCAACACAAAACCATGCTATAATTCCGTTGTATTAAAAATATTATCCTACTACTCTCTGTGTTCAATAGTCTCTGTACCTGTAATGCTTTCAGTTCTGTTGTATCCGGGGCAGAGGTTTGCTCCGCTCCTTGTTTAACCCAGTACGGAAATAAAATGTTAAGAGTTGACGATGCCCTGCCGCTCTCTGTGCCTCGCTCGGGGCTCGCAGGTCCGCGCTGCGCTCCGGCCGTGGCTGCCGGCGGAGCCGGGTCCGCTTTCGTAACCTTCCTTTGTATTTCTTTTGTTTCTCGCCTTCGCGTTTCTCGCCACGGGGCTTACCTCGGAACAATAGGGGCGAGGGCTGTCACCACGAGATCCATCACGGAGCAGTGACTAAGCCGGGCTATCCGAACGATGCCCGGCTGAAGCCCACACCCGCCTGTAATCTGGAATTAATTCATCTGCACCACAGATCGCGGCACGCAGCGGAGCCGGGGCTCTCTGCCCCAAACGGAGCGCTGCGTGCCCGCCTGCAAAGCTCTGAAGTTACGCTTCGGCAGCCCCCACCCTGAGCTGCGAGCTCTGAGATCGGGAAGGTGGAGAGAGAGAAGGGGGGAATTAAGGATAAAATGCGATCGGTGCAGAAAAGACAACAGCAGAGTGCTGGAGAAGCAGATGGGGAAAAGCGGGGGCACTAACGGGGCACGGGCAGCTGAGCGGGGCTGGCGCCGTACTGCTCAATGCCACGGAAAGCCCCCGAGCTGCGGCACGGCGCCGGGGGCAGCAGCTGAGCACAGGTGTGCTAACAACCCTCCCTCCCACAGCCGTCTGCAATTGCCAGCAACGAGCCTTACGGCACAGATGTGCTGCTGAGGGCACCAACCCCCCTTCGGTTTGAAGAAGCAAACCATCCGCGTTCCTCTTGGAGGGCGCTTCAGAAGCAGCACGAGCTCCGTTTGGAGTTCCCAGGTAACCTCGTTGCTCTGGTGTGGTGTCATGGGGAGCACTGGAGCTGTGATAAAGCTTGGTGGGTCCTCAGTCCTGACGCCCATTGCTCTGGTTTGTTCCATGCTCGTCACTTTGATCTTATCGAGAACCTGGAAAGCAGATGTGTGCAGGTAGAGCCCTTGCTGTGCACTTGGGTTCCTTCCCACCACCCCATCCCTCCCCTCTTATTGAGGAGGATCTGCAGAGCCCTGCGTGAGCCCTAGGCTGTGCTGCTGGCACAGGCTGTGTGGAAGCCCACGTGGACCAGAATGAACCACCTCCTCCACCTCCCTGGCCAGGTAAGGATGTTGCCATTTGTCACCTGGTGCAGAACCTGCTGCTGTTTGGTGCCTGGAACAAATCAGGTGCTTAGGAAAGGGAGAAACTCTACAAACAGATTATGTAAGAGGGGGCTATGCCACTTTCCTTAGAGCTCCCTCATGTAGGAGGTCAGAAGTGTAACCTGGTGCCCCTGACGTATGAAAATAAGGCCAAATCAAAATGGTCTCCATGAGGAGAAGTGTGCAGGAGCTGCTGGTGGAGAAGCATAGCTGCCAGCAGTGGGGGGTTTTCCTATCACTTGTGTAGAGGGGACCATGCTTAGACTCAGCAAAGCATACAGAGGGGTCTATGTCCAGAGCAGCTCTCAGGTGCAGTCAATGGGCTGAGGACGCAGTGCAATGCATTGTGCTTCTTGGGAGATGAGCTGAAGGTCAGCCCTTCCTTCAGGCCATGAGCCACCACATGAGTCACAGAAATGTGGAGCATCCCAACCTGGAGGGGATTTACAGTATCATAGAGTCCAGCTCTTGGTTCCACGCATCACCAACCAAACCCTATGGTTGAGAGCAGTGTCCCATCACTCCCTGAGTTCCGGCAGCTTCAGGCTGTGCCCGCTGCCCTGGGGAGTTGTGCCTACCGCCCTCCGGGGCCTTCCTTTGACTTCCCAACTCAGCTCGCCGTTCCCTCGAGCCCCATCTCCGGGCATTCACTCCGCAGCACCGCTCCTGAAGCGTCGACGTGCGGTTAATGGGATCTTCGGGGATGGCGGCAGTGTCCCTACGGAGCAGCTCGGGATGCTGCGGGGCCGCGCGGGCGCTCCCAGGGTGTGCAGTACCACGCCTGACCGCCAGGGGGCAGCACCGCGCCGCCCGTAGGTCCCACCTGCAGGGGCCGGGCTGCGCACCGCGATGTGCGGCACGGCTGGGCGCGGGGCTCGGCCTTCCCGCGTGTCGCAAGAAGGCATCGGAAGGAAGCGGTGCGGTCTTCAAGCGCGGACATCATCACGCCAACGTCACAGTTCTACTCCAGAACCTTTTCCGAGCTCCTGAAGCTGCTTTGTCTCCTCCGCGTGCGCGGCCGCTCAGAGTTGTGAGAATTGGGCTGTGTGTCACCGTGGGTTCCATCACTGACATCAACGTTTGGACACGAAATGGTGAATCCCAAAGTGATGCCTGTGAGCCGTTGTTCCCTGCACTCCTTGCTCTGCGCTGAGCAAGGAGCCCCTGGCTGTTCCAGGCCCTCTGAGCACCAGCGATGCTCAGAGCATCATGCCCTGCTGCTGGGATGAGCCCTTCATCATCGGTTCCTTTTCATCTCTATTTGGGTTTTGCTGAGGATCAAACAGGTACCTTGTGTTGAGTGATGGGTTCTGCGGCTGGAAAGTTGGCGTGATGCCTCCTCAGAGGACCGATGAAACTCTTGTAGCTGGAGCTGAAGAAATTATTAATGATCGTAATTTCCCACAACTTTTGCCTGGAGGACTCCTTTGTTCTCTTCTTTGTCTAAAACTTGTGTGAAGTAAGAGCTCACAATTTATTCTGCATTAGCAGCCCCTTTGCCATAGAAGAGCAGGCACTGCCTGGATGGGCTGTAGGTGGATCCATGTGAGATCTCTGATCCAGATGGGGCTTTGCTCTGCTCTTCCTTCCTGGGCACTGCTTTGCTTTACTCATCACCCAGGCACTGCACGTGGCACTCAGCATCCTGACTGGTTTTGGAAGCAAGTCTCCACCACATCAATGTTCTCAGTGAAGGCAACATCAGTGCCTTTAATTCAGCTTTGTCTGAATTAACTCTAACTGCTTTCTTGGGCTGAAGTTGTCTTCCCTTCTGCAGCACAGCTCCAACCAGGGAAGGTCTGCCTCTAGTTGCCATCCTCAGCAAGCCGCTGTTCCTTGCTATGTAGGCCATGGCACTCTGAGCAGCTCACTCCTGGTGAGGGTGATGGAGAGCCTTCAGCTGGTGAAGGTGAGAGCTCAGAATGAGATTCTGGAGGTGAATTTGGTGGTGCTGGAGAAGCGGCGGCTGCGCCGTGCCACCAGGTGCCCGATGCTTGGTGCTGGGACACCCAGCCCTCACGCTGCCCTGGGGCAGCATCCTGCAGGGAGAAGTGCAGGAGGTGCTCTTCCCTTTGAGGAGGGCAAGGTGATGTGCTACCAAGGATCGCAGAGCCTCTCTGACCTGCTAAACCCAAAGGATGCTGGATTGCATCCAAACCTTCTTCACCATGAACAACCAAGACGAGGCCTGAACAGGATAGCAGGAGCTGCTGTGTGCCTACGCTGCGTGTGGGAGAGGTGTCTTGGCGTCACGCTGGGCGCGTTGCCCACTCACACCCTACCCCCAGCAATCTCCTTCGTGCATCGGTATGAAACCATGCTCCCACCGCAGGGGCGTTTGCCCTCTGCAGAACCCATTGCTGCTCTGCCCCCTGTGGGAGCACTCCTGCTCTTCCCCGCAGGGAGGCTGCAGGTAGCCCAGCCACCAGCGTCTGCTGCCAGCCACCCCTCGCGTGTTGGCATCCGTCAGCCTGTCAGCGTTCAGCTTTTCTTTCCTGCTGGAGGAATGGCTGCTGCTCCTCGTGATGAACGAGCCTGGTGGCAGTGCCAGATCCAGGAGCTGTGCTTGGGGTGAGCCCACGTGCAGAGCTGTGACTGCGTTGGCATCGGCTGTGGTGCAGCCGGGAAGCCAACAAGAACCTCTTTATATAAACTCTAAGGGGTTTTTTTTGTTTTTTTTCTTTTTTTCATAAAAGCCCTTCTAATTTGTACCAAAGAGGCTGGAGCACGCCCTTGGGACTGGTAAAAATAATAATAGCTTAAGTGGTAGAAGACTGTGAATTTGAAACAGAAGGTTATGAGACTTAAAAGTATTACAAAAACGTCAACATTGTATATCAATAAGCGTAATTTAGATATACAGAGAGATAGCGAAGGCTCAAACAAAGAACTGTCAAGTTTTACCTCTTCAGATCTCCTTGAAACGAAGCAGATGTCTTCATCCAATTGATCCGAGAAGCTGGCCTTCGCATCCAAAAGCATTTCATTTAACATCACAAATGAATTACTCATTACAAAAATTACATGGTTTGCTATTTTTTTTTTTTCAATCTTTTTTTTGTTGTTTTAATTCCGAGATGAAACACACATGTTGGTGTTGGCTGCTCCAGCACAGCGCTCCCCAACGCTGGGAACAGGGAGCTGCGGCCGGGCGATGGGGGGTGGAGACGAATGGCTCTCATTACAGCCCTATCTGTTGGCTGCCTGAAATATGCCTCCTAACAAGCGGTTTAATTGCGAGCGCTGCGTGCCATGACGAATGGCTGCCGCCTCCTTCCAAATCCTCCACCGGCCGTCCAAGCGTCCCTCATCAAACCCTGATCCAACGCGGAGTCTGAAGAGGAAATTGCTGCTTTAGGGCCGTGTTACCACGGGATATTACGTCTGAGCCCTGTGATCTTCCTCCTCGCATAAATCTGTGGCTGTTGGGACACATCTAAGAACAAGCATTCGGGCTTTCCTTCCCTGGGTTATTGCTGGCACGCTGCGGGTCCTGAGGCTGCAAATCACTCAGCCGGGAGCCTCTGCCCTCAGCTGGCTGTGACCACAGGGTGAGCAGCAGGCGGCTCTGTGTGCACCTGAAGGCTGCTCCTGCTTGGGCTGCAATTCCTGGGATTTGCCTCTGCGAAGGTGAAGCTTTGGCTCCTCACCCTGAGGTGTCCTGGAGCAGGAGTCACCCCAGTTGCAGCTCTTTGGGCAGCTGCTTTGCTGAGGTTCGCCTCACCTCATCTAGAAGCAAGGCTGCAGCCCTGTGCTTGGTGCACCTGGGCCGTGACCTCACTTCCAGCCTTCAGCTGTGGGGCGGTGCACCATGAAGTGCCCTGGAAACCCTTCGCCCTGTGGTGTGCGTGCGTGTTTCAGCCCTTCTATGCCTTTGGAGGCCACGGTGCGTGGGGAATAGTTTCATTGGGACCGTACCTCCAAAGAGGTAACCTGTGCCATGCATTAACGGGGACAGATGTCAAACAGACAAAACCATTTGCAGAGGAAACCACGGCGTGAGCCCCAGCCTGAGCGCCGTGTGCAGGGAGATCCTGCTTGGAAGGAGCTGCTCTGCTCTGCAGGGGTGAAGGTGCACCTGGGGGCCTCCATCCCAGAGGCTGAGAGGTGGCTTTCCTGCAACCAGCCCAGAGCTGTGGCACTGGGCAGGGTGGGGAGCGCCCATGCATCCCTCAGCCCTTCATCCAGACACAGAGCTGCGTGCTGAGCTGCTCTCACATGGGCTGCTGGGGGCTGAGCAAGGAGCAGAGCAGGCTGTAGGCTCCCCAGCGCGTGCCTTGCATGCAGCACGACCTACGCCCCTCCAGACAAAGATCCTATCACCTCCATTCCCAAAAGTGGACCCCAATGCCAGCCCTCGAGGCCGATACTCACCAGCATCCCGCAGTTGGGAGCCCAGGGCTGGGGGTGAGCAGCAGGCGTTGTATAACACAGAGTGGAATATCACTGCTGCAGCCAGGATGAGTAAGAGAACAGCTGACGTTGGTCACCGGCTGCAGTTCCGTGCGGCCGAGGGAGGGGGAGGCTGAGAGACGGCTGCACAGTTGAAAAAATAAAGACAATGAGTCTATAAAAGTTGAAGAACTGAATAGATTCCGAACATTTGCTTTTCATTATCACCAAATAACATATAAATAAACATACGACAGAAACGAGAGCAACGTCCCAGCTGCCCTGTCCAGAAGGAGCCGTGTTTAGGCTGAACTGAGCCTTCTGTGGCCAGGCCTCCTCCCCGTGTGCTCTGTGATGGGACTGGGATCCGGCTGAGCTCCCATCCCAATGCAAAGCCAGGTGTGTGGGAAGGAGAGCTGTGCTGGTTGTCCTTCGAAGGCAGGAGGACAGGGGGAAGGGTGTGCAAATAAGCACTGCCAGTCCATGCACTGCTTTGCTTTCTGGCGCGAGCAGACCTGAGTCTTTTGCTGTTGTTGTTTTTGCACGTCGATAATTAATAGCGCAGCTCAGAAATGCCATCCATAAAGAATAGCTGGCTTTGCTTTTCCTTTCCCCACGTCTCACGGTGCAAAATGAGCCCTTGAGTGATGCTGAGCACGTGGCAGAGCAGATGGCTCAGGCTGGAATTGCAGCGGGTGCTGCACCATCAGCATCACCACGCTCTCTGCTCTGGCTCTGCTGTGCACATCCCCCCATGGCAGTCCCAGAGCTCAGCTTTGCACTGCTTTGCAGTGACCACCGGCCCGGGGAGGACTGCAGGTTCAAGGAAAGGAGAGGGCAGCTCTGCAGCTGCAGATGTAAATGGCAGAATGTGGTGGAAAGAAGGAATCCCTGTGGCTGCTCTCCCCGTGCAGATCCGCTGCTCAGTCCCTGCAGACGGACACAGCCTCTGTCACAGCACAGTCAGAGCCTGCGGTGGCTGGGAGTACAGCCTTAAATAAAGCAGATAACATGAGGAATGTCAGCCCTGTAGCTGCAGCAACGGCTGGAGGCTTTCAGAAAGTCAGGATGCTTTGTCCTATGGGCTCACAGACGCATCTGAGGACACAATCCCTGCCCGCTGTGATCTCAGGATCCAGGAGGCTGCGTTCTATTAGGGTTGCTAACATCACTGTGTGAGCAGAGGAGATGGCTTTCCTGCAGTTTAGCGGAGTTTTCCTCAAAGGAAAGTCATGAATTCCAAAGCTTTTAGGTCACGCATGTTAAAATCCACTCTGCTGCTGCAGCAGATACAACAGCTGGTGCCAAAACGTAAATGGGAAATGGGCTCGGAACTTATTTGCAGCATGCCTCGAAGAGATTCGCTTAATCTCCTAAATATGCAAAGCGCTGGCGCTGCCCCTGTGGTGCCCCCGTGGTGCTGAGGGCTTTGCCGAAGGAAGGAGACCTGAAGCATTGATCTGCTGCAGGTTCCTCCTCCCGGCTGTTGTCTGGGACACAGCAGCTCTGGCGTGGTGGTGCTGGGAGTAACGGCGCTTTGGGAGCCAGCAGGGAAAGCCCACGGGCTGAGAGAGGCGGCTCCGTGTTCCTCCCCCATCAGCCCCCAGCCATCCCATCCCTGCGGGCTGCAAGGAACAGCGCCTTTATTTCTGGGATGTCTCCTTTTCCCCTGGATTTCTCCCTGTTGTTCAGGGGGAAACAAAAGCAGGGGCAGCTGGGCCCGATGGATTCCTGCAGATAGAGGCAAAATCCAGGCATGGGGAACCTCCTCCTTGCGCAGCAATGCTGCTTTCTGGTTCAGAACTGCTCCCTGCAAAGCCGTGCGGTCCACACGTGAGGGGCCGCTCTCAGGTCTGGGGTGGCACATTCACTGCTTGCTCGGATGGGATTTCTCATTAACCGGTGGGATTTTGTAGGAAGAGCTCCTCAGTGCTTCATTCTGAGGGTGTGATGTGTGTCCCGGTCAGATCCCAGCGGAGGCGGCCAACTCAGCTCTTCTGGATGGTTCACGGATGGATGGAGACCCCCAAGCAGACCCTGAAAGCACAAAGTAGTGAGGGAATCGCTTAACCTCTAAAATTCACCCCGAAAGGAAGGTGAATTACCCTTGAAAACAGAGCCAGGTTGCAGCCTGCCTGAGGAAGTCGCTGTTTGTAAATAATTTGGATCTCCATCTTGAAAAACAGGACCAACCCTGAGTGTGCAAATAATTACAGATGTCCCTAAAATAATGGCAGTGTTGTGTACTGAGAGTCCGTTGGCTTTTATTTGCTTTTTGCTCTGGAGCTGTCAGGGTTGGTGCTGGTTAATGCTTCCAGTTTTTCTATACAAATATTAGGGAAACATTTCTCTCTTAAATGAAAACAGAGACTCTCATATAATTCCATGACCATGGCACAGAACTTAAAGGCAAAATAATAATAATAATCCCTATTGCAGAAAAATAAGTCTAGGAAGGAGTACAAAGAGGTCATCTGGTTCATCCTGCTCCCCAAAGGCAGCACAAACTGTGTTCTTTATGGCCCCAGCCCATGAAATACAGAGTGCTGGAGACCCCCCGTGCTCCCCATGCTCCATCCCAGTGCTTGCAAGGCATTCTCAGAGCCTCACGTCCCCCTGCCCTGCTCTGTGGGGGGCAGCCCCCTGCTGCTGCTGCGCTGGGGGTCCCTGCACCATCCCTCCCCTCCTCCCCCCCCCGGGCCTTGGGGATTCAGGGTTGTCCCATTCGGTGTCACAGCAGATTTCTGCTGGCACCCTGTTTTGCTTTGGGCACCTCTCCGATCTGCTAAGAGCACAGCTAATGCTTGATGCCATCAATTCCCAGAGACATCCCTGAAGGATGCCAACAAAACACTGCCGTTGGTAAAAAGGCTCACGGTGCCATTTCTCCCCCTGCTTTCTTTTCAGCTTGGACATTAGGAGAGATTGCTTCTCCAACACAGCGGTGCTGCCCATGGAGCGGTGGGGTCACCGGCCCAGAGGTGTCCCAGAACCGTGGGGAGGTGGCACGGAGGGACGTGCTTTAGTTCCTTTTTCTCATCTCACCCATTGCTGATGTCAGCAGTCCCTGAAACACCAGTTTTGAGCGTTTCTCATTAGAATCGCCCCAAAGCTTCTGTCTGCTTCAGCTCCTTGCCCAGAGGGCCCCTCCACCTGCTGTCCCTGCCATGTCACACACAGTGACACCTCCATGCCTCCCCTTGTCCCTTGCTGCTGCAGACACCTCTGTGCCCCATCCCTTCCCTGTCGCTCCCACTGCCTGCTCCCTGCAGCTCCATCCCCACACCCCCGTGCTGTTCTTCTCCATCAGGAAGGGCCCTGATTTATACTTTCTGTGCGTGTTCCTCATTGTCTCCGAGATGACCGAGCTGATCTCATGCTATTCTTTCTATCTTGCCTCTGCCCTGGGATGTTCTGCAGATGTGCCCTTGTGTTAATCCCTGTGAGCAGCTGGCAGCTCCCCCAGCCCTGTGTTCCCAGCCACACCGACCCCCCCTGCACCTCCCACTCAGGTCTGCTTTCTCAAAGCCCCCCCTCCCAAACCCCACGCCTCTGCCTCATGTACTTTTGCTGTCAGTGCTCAAGAGGCATTTGGATAAAGCCCCCAGGGATGAAGCTCTGAATTGCTTTTCGGTAATCCCCGTAGGTCCCTTCCGAATGAACTCTGCTATTCCCTTCCATCCCACTCTATTCTGTTCCATTCCCACCCGTTATTTAACATTCCATTCCATTCTACACTATACCATCCCATTCCACTACTTCTTTCCATTTCTTCCCTCTTCCCTTCTCTCTTCCCTTCCCATTTCCCTTCTCTTCCCTTTTCTCTCACTATTTTCCTTCCTTTTCCCTTTCCATTTTCCCTTCCACATCTCCTTCCTTTTTCCCATCTCTTTCTTCCTCCCATTTCTCTTCCCTTTCCCATTGCCCTCCATCTCCCTTTCATTTTCCCTTTCCTCTTTTCCTACCTTTTTTCTCATCTTCCCTTTCCCATCCCTATCCCAACCACTTCCCCTTCTCCTACCTTTCTCCCTTCCCCATTTCCCCTTCCCTTTCCACATTTCCCTTTCCCTCCCCTACCTTTCTCCCTTCCCCATTTTCCCTTCCCTATGCCATTTCCATTCTCCCTTTCCCATTTCCCATTTCCCCATCCCTCCCCGCTCCCCTCTCAACCCACACCTCCCATCCCCGCCCCCCGCCCATTCCCCGCCCGCATTCCCCGCCCCGCTCCGTTCCCCGCCCCCTGGCGTGGCGGTGGGGCGGCCCCGGCCGCTCTGCCCCCGGCGCCCCGTCGCTCCTCGGCCGAGCATGGAGCAGTAGCGGAGCCGCCGCCGCTCCGTCCCGCGGCCATGGGTGCGGAGCGCAGGGGGGAGGCGGCCCGCGGCGGCTGCTCCTGTGCCGGCGCCGGGAGCTGGCGCCTCTTCCTCGGCTTCTTCGCCCTCTCTCTGGCTCTGCACGTCCTCACCCTCGGCTGCTACCTGGAGCTGCGCTCCGAGCTCCGCCGCGACCGCGGCCCTCAACCCGCGGCCCCGCCGAGACGCGACGGAACGGCGGCGGCCGCCGCTCCCGGAGCTCCGCCCGCCGTCCGCCCGCAGCGCCCCGCGGAGAGCGGCGACCGGCGGCAGCAGGTGGGTGCGGGCCGGGCGGGGGGAGCCGGAGCGCCGCTTTGGAGCTCGCGCCGTCCCCGGGCTCCGTTGGCGGTCGTCCCCGCTCCGCTCGGCCATCCGCGGGGCCCCCCGACGGCCGGGGACGCGCCGCGTTACGCTACACCTGCTGCGGGCGGCGCGGCCCGACGTGCGGCGCTGCGGACGGAGCTGCGCGATCCGTGCTGCGGAAGCACCGCTGCGACGCACGCGAGGGGAGCCCGCAGCGCCCGTCCGCTGCGCCCGCGCTGCTTGCGGCGTTCGCTTTTCCCGCGGCGCAGTTGGCCGCAGGGAATCTCCCCGCCCCGTTTTGCCGCTGGCACCGAAGGGCCTCGAAGTCGGAGCGGCTGCGGGAGGAGCCCCGCGCGTGCCGAGGGCCGTCGGTGCGGGGGGACCGCGCGGGAACGGCTGGGGAAAAACCCGTGGGTTTGGAGCCTCGGCCTCTGCGTGCCGCTCCCGGCGCCGTTTGGGTTCCGTGGCTTCTGATAACGAAGCGTAAGCGGAAACTGGATTGGGGGAAGCCGGATAATGCGGGCATCTCCCCGCAGTGCGTGTTTCTGCGGTGTCAGAGCGAAGGGAGAGAGCTGCTCGGTGTTGTGGTTGAGTTTGGGATTGCCCCGTGGCTGCACATGGCCGGAGCTCCGGCTGCGTGTTGTCACGTGAAATGTGCTTGGGCTGCAGAGCGCTGGGTCGCGGAACAGCACGGCACAGCTGAGGCGTGAGTAAGTTACAGCCTGAGATAAGCTGAGTTTGTGCTGAGACCTGAGCGCCGCTCTGCGCAGCTGCCGTGCTCCGGAGAAAGGTCTGCGAGTCGGTCCTTGGTTTGCTGTGTGTCCAGTGAGGGCTTTCTTGCTGTGCTGCAGCGGTTGGTTATGAGAGAAAGTTCCCTGTTCCCATGAGCAGCAGGCTTGGCACGATGGGCAGGGAGCTGCTGGCACCGCACGGCGCTCTGACAGCATGCAGCTCGTCTTATTTGGAGCATTTCTCTGCTCTTTCTCACTGCCTTCACTGGAAAAAAAACCAACCACCCAACCCTCAATGCTGCAGCGTTTCATTAATCCATCCGTTTCCGGATGGCCGCAGTGAAACAAGGTGTTTGCAAACAGCCTGCCTTGAGGAGTTAATGACGGTGTAAAACTCCTCCATGTGCTCCCCGCGGCTCCTGCAGCCTCACTGCACACAGATGTGTCCCGAGGCATCAGCTCGCAGCACCCGGCGCGGCTCAGGGCTGCGATGGTGACGCTGCAGCCTGGGACCCCTCCGGGTCGCTGTGCTGTACCGGAGCGGTGACGCAGGCTATGGGAAGCCCTTCCCCTCGCTGACCCCTTTGTTTTATTTTCTCCTCGCTGACCCATGGAGGAGGAGGGCGGCCGCGATGGTCAGCGCTGGGATTTTGGCAGGAGCCGCGCTGGGCTCTGTGCCAGCAATGACCTCATGACAGGAGCGAGATTTGGCAGCCCGATAGCGCTCTGCTTCCCTATCTTACAGGGTATTCAAATATGTAACTAATTTAGGATACAAGGGCAATTTTTCATGGCAGAGGTTGAGGCATTGTGCTTCACATCTTTGTCCCAGAAGCTGCGGGGTGTTGCGTCAGCAGTTTGGCCTCTGGGTTAAAAGTTTGTTAACGCCGCGTTAATTGGCTGGGTTGGGGCGGTTGGTGGTGCTGGGGAGCAGCGCGTGGGACGGATGCAGCCCTGGCAGCGCAGCCCTTAGCAGTGGGTGCTCCCCTGGGTGCTGGCACCGTGGCACAGAGCGGGCAGAGGGGATTGAAGCAGTTTGTGTCTAACCCACAGAAAGTCAGACAGTTACTGCTGTGCTGCTTGAGTGTTGCGGTGGCCTCAAGGCGCTGAGCATCCAAAACGATGCTCTGACTGCAGGATGGCTGCAGTGGGTGCAGCCCGGCGGGGTGATGGGGCTGGAGCTCCTCTGATGGATGTGAGCATCCTCAGCTGGGCTCAGCAGGTGGGAGGGCTGCCTTAACAGTGGGAAGCGCCTGCTGTGAGCATTGCTCCTAGCGTGCCGCAGGCCCCAGCCCACTCCTTGTTAGGAGCTCAAATGAGGTTTTAGGTTTGCTCCTGTGCTCGGTGCAGCCCTGAGTGGGTGCTGTGCCTCCCAGCACCTCGCAGTGGCTGAGGATGGGGGTCAGGGGGTGCAGCACCATCTCTGCACGCTGCCTGCCCTGCAATCTGCTTCTCTCAGTAACGCCATCGGTTTGGGGTGAGCAATGCTGCGCTGCTGCTGGTGGCTGAAGATCAGCACACCAGGTGTGGGCAGTGTGAGGCCAGGATGGTGCCTGTGAGCAGTGCGTGCTGCTATAGGCACAGGGAGCACACAGGGTTGAGTTCAGCACACAGCTCAAGTGTATTTGGCCCCTCCTTGCAGAGCCACAGGGCCTGTGAGTGCCCTCAAAGTACGGAGCCTGTACACAGAAGGGTTTATTCCTCAAGCTGATGGTTGGCTGCAGCTGATGACCCAACTGCCATTAAACTGTCCCCAAAGCATCCCCCAAAAACAAAAAAGCTCCTCCTCTGATGCACCCCAGCCCCCATCCCCACAGTGTGATGGGTGCACAGAGAGCTGAGCCATGGCCACGGGACGCGTCCTGCATCTCCATGGTGTGCATCCTTTGTGCTGTGCTTTGTCATCCAAACTGGGGCTCTGCTGTACGGTGTTCAGCATTGCTGAGGCTGTGTTGGTCTTTGGGTGCAGTATGCCTGGAGGGCTCAGAGAGAGATATCAAATGGGAAACACATTTGTGCTCCTAAGCCTGGGGATATTCTGTGTGAAATCCGGCACCGATCCATGCGCTGCGTTTCTTTAAAGAGCAGATAGTGCACAGCGTTGGAGAAGGGCTGCAGGGGGCAGGGATAACCCAGTTCATCTGTAGGGATCAGCGGTGCTGCTTTGGTTCCATCTCAGGTGGGAACTCAGGAACTCAGTTTCTTCTCAGAGCGGTGATGTGCGGCTGCACAGGGAGCAGTGGGGTCACCGTGCCCAGGGTGTCCCAGAACTGTGGGGATGTGGCACTGAGGGATGTGGGGATGGGCATGGTGGGGTGGGCTGGGGATCTGAGAGGGCTTTTCCTGTGTCCCAATCTCCCCCCATGCCAGTGGGTTGCAGGGAGGGCTTTGCTTTGGGTGAGTTGCCCATTGGCCCTTACACCAGGGGGGCATGGAAAGCAAGCGAGCACGGAGGTCACAGCACCAAGGGCTCCATCAGCCCAGTGGGATTTTAACCTCTTAATGTGATTTTTCTCACTGCACAGTACTATAAATCATCTCTGCTCCTCCGTACGCATGCAGTATCTTGTAGTGCTAATTAAGCTGCACGCCATCCTAATTTTGCTCTCATACTAATCCCATATATTTTTCTTGACTCGAAGCCAAACCCTGAAAAGTTCAGAGCATGCGAAGCTCCCAATCCTGCCTTATTATATGTTAATGACTTGGTGTTTTAATGTCTTTCAACACTTTAAGAGGATGTCATTTCTGGAGGTTTCTGGCTGCAGAAGGTGACCTGTGTGTGAGTGCAAAGCACTAAATGGGCTCTGTGCAGCGCGTCAGTGCTGAGTGCATCTCAGCACTGGGATCTGTCAGAGCTCATTGTGCACAAATACAAATTGCAGCGAGATTTGGATGTAATTTTAAAATAGTTAACTGTCTTTATAGGTTAGGAAAATAAAGCTCCTGCCTAGACTTTACATGCTGCAGTTGTAAGTGCTTTCTTGTTAAACTCTTGGGGAAATGAACTGTTTTTGTGTGCTGATGGTGCTGATGCCAGTTGGGCCTGAATGCTACTATAACAAATAATTACTTGCAGATGTGTGCATATTAAAATGAGCTCTTTCCATAAGGCCAAATAAAATTCTGTTGTAAGTGCAAAGTACTAAATATGCAAGATTGTATTGATGAAATGCCAGTGCTCTAATGCTTTCCAAATGGCAAGTGCCAGCATCCCTGGCTCAGGCTGCACCTCGACTGCAGCTCCTCCTCCTGTGGTTGCTCTGCACTTCCTCAGCAGTGGCTCATGCTATGGGGAGGCACGGAGCAGCACCTGGAAGTGATGTGTGGGTCTGCGAGGGATGCGGCCCTGTGCAGCACCTCCTGTCTTTTGTAGCAGAGAGGGTTCTGTGCAAAGCCATGCTCTGTGCCCCCCACGCCTTTTGCTTGGGCAGAAGAGCTCAGTGTGAGGAGCCCCGTGTGCAGGAGGCGCGGTGCTGCGTAGCTGTGCAGCAGTGGGTGTTGCACGGAGCAGTGTTGTGTTGCATGGTGTGGCTTTGCAGCAGGGTGTGCTGAATGGCGTTGCATGGCATTGCATGCTGACGTTGTGTGCATGGCTTTGCAGCAGGGTGCATTGCATGGTGTGTCGATGGCTTTGCAGTGGCACTGGCACCAACAGGCATTGCTTGGTGTGAGGTCACCATGGGAGTTGCATTGTGTGGTACTGCGGGCACTGCATGGTGCTGATGGCTTTGTGGGGTGCAGTGATGCCTTGCAGGGCTTTAATGTCTGTCTTTAATTGCTGCGGTGGGCACTGCATGCTGTGATGTGTGTGGCTCTGCAGCAGTGCAGCTTTGCAGCACTTTGGTGCTTTGCAGTGGCCGGTACCAGGTGCTCTGTGGTGTGGAAAGGGTGCAGGAGACGTGGCCTTGATTTGGGTTAAATTCAGGCAAAGATGATGATAGACCACGCCACAAAAGTGATAGCAAATGTCAGCTTGCAACTTCTTTCTGCTGCTCTTACCAATTCCCAACAGATGTACTGTGCCAGTAGCTCCCAAAGCCTCAGCCCATCATCAAGCAGCATTAAATGCCAAACGTGCCCCAGGCAATGGGTGCTGGTCCCCATCCATCCCTGCTGCAGCCTTTGTTTGGTGCCCATTCATCCCAGCTTTGCCATTCATTCACCTCTGCCGCCTTAAATCTCTCCGGAGGCACATAACAAGGGATGGAGACAGTAGGGTTGTTGCTTAAGCGGTGGCTC